GAAAATAGTAACTATAAGAGAGCACATCTCCTCCTTAGACTGCCATTAGCATATGTGATTGCTCCAAGGCTAAAAAGGAGTGTCCCCACTGGCACTAAGGCCTTTATTACAGAACTACTAAGACTCTTGTCTGAGAAAACTAGTAAAACTCTTGTGTGAAAAGAGATCTCTGAGACTAAAAGATGAAGCCAATTTCTACTTACCATAACAAAGCTCTCTGAGTAGGTAGCTGAATGGCGAGGTTTACAACAGCTAGGGGAAATGGGTTCTTACTGGTGTGATAATTATTGACTCAAATGGTCCACAATCACTGGGATAGGACTAGAAGAAACACTTGGGATATTTTTTTTAATGCTACCCACTTACAGATAAAAAGCCTTCTCTTCTTCTTCCCTATTTTAAGCCTACAAAAAAAGTATTTTGCTTTAGGTATTGAACCTCTTCATCATTTGAGGGAATGCAAGGCAACTGAGTGAGTTGTTACCTCATCAATACACTCCAGCCTGTGAGAGCTTCCCTTACCTTACTCAACAAGAGAGAGCTGAAAACAGATAGGAAGAAAAGTATATGCAGGACAGCAGGAAAAGCCCTTTTTTTTTTTTCCCCCCCTCTCTGGTTGGCAGTATCTCAATGTTATCCACCTGCATCACAGTCACCCCACGCTGTTACCCACACACCACAACGTCACCACAAACACACACAGAGTCCTGCTCCTCCCTTTCTTCTCCTCATCCATTACACATTATCAGCACAGAAACACTTGGGTACACACTTCCATCCATATAGATTGCACATACCTCGTGCATTAACAAACACATCATTTTTCACACCCGCATTGTCCAGTAACGTTATAAAACATGAGACTTTACAGATAACATTTGTACTGTGTACCACCCTACAGCATCCTATTCCACTTACCCGAGTGCTTCTGTGATTTCTTTCGTCAGACTCATTCCCAATTTAAGAACACCCTTGAGCAGCTCAAAAAATACGTTATAAATAAATGCTGCCAGTATTACGCAGGCCAGTTCTCCCCGTCCTTTTCTAAACCATCTACTTTACTAAATAGGGTGTGGAAGCACCTGAATTTTTTTTTTTTAAGTCTTCTACAATTAACCAATGAGGTGGAGTTTTAGGGGGGGTTAATTAAAGCAAGCTGGGTTGTTTGTTTGTTTTTTTTTTTTTTAAGCAAATTGCTGATTTGAAACAGCTGCTATTTTTCAAGAGAAAGGGTTTGTTTAGAAGAATTTTTCAATGTAAAGCAATGCTGAAGGAAATGTTGTATAATTTGTCAAGGCATTCATTTTTTTTTAAATAAAATGCTCAGGGTGAGGAAATCAAAACTAATTTTCATATTGACAGCTAAGTTAGAGTAATTGTAGGTAAAAGTGAAAATATCAACACAAAATTCTTCTAAATTATCAAAATGCAATCTTTGGTAGACCCTAATCATTTGCTTCTCCTCCCCATCTACATACACCCAATTTTTGACTTGGGAAACAAAAAAGAAAAAGAAAAATTCAGCTTTTGAGTCCAATTTATGAATCCGATCTCTGTCAGAATATTTGAAGCACACTGTGCTAAGAAATTAATCCATTCGAAGAAAAAGCTGCAGCATACCACTAGAAAATCCCACCCACCGGCAGTGCTGGGGTTTATAGGTACTTTTATTCTTCCAGCCCCCACAGGGCAGGAAGGCCAGTGCACCATGCAGGAGGAACAACCATTCCGCCTCCAAGCCACCTGCCTCCCAGCGCGGACTGGAAGGGCAGCAGCAGGGAAATGCAAGAATCCTGAGCCACAAAATTAAGGAAACATAATGATTAGGGGGGGAAAAAATATCCTCTGTGCAAGACTTGGAGCATCTAACCTGAGGGGGAAGGAGCAAAGCCTCTCTGTGCCAAAGCCCCTGAACACAGGCGGGCGGGGGACAGGCAGCCCTTTGCATTTCCCCTGGCAGAGGCGCTGGAGGAGGCAGCCTGTGCGGCCACTTGGCACAGTGGAGCCCATAGGTCTCCTGCCAGCCTCAGCTGTGCTTCCTCCCTACACCCCCATCGCCTGCTATTCAGCCTCAGCTTGTCCGTGCCTGACAGTGCCAGCATCGCTCCCCTTCTCCCCCGCTTTTGGTGGCTGTGGGAGAACGAAGAAAGGCAAGGAGCTGCTTTTGCGTTCACCGGTACACCCCCAAGTGGACAGCAAGGAAAAAGGGGAGAGAAGGCACAGACAAGTTTTGGATGGCTTGCAGAGGTACAGGCTCAGCTGGCTGGCTCCAGAGGGATGTGCTCACAAAGCTCTTGGAAGCGTTCCGATGGGTCACTGCCTGTCAAAGGCAATACTGCAGTTTCCTGGGGTAAGAGCTCCACAGAGTTGTGCTCAGCAGGGTTACAGAAGTGTTCGAGCCTGGTTACCAAGGCTTTCAGTGAATAACAATTAATTTAAAATGAATATGGGGGGAGGGGGGGGGCGTTGTGTTACTTTGTTGGGTCTTTTTAAGGGCTCAGTACTTTCTCACTTTTTTTTAACTCCTTCAAACATCTTCAGGCTTCCTTGTGAGGTGCCATGCTCCTCCCAAGCAGCCCCAATATTCCTGCTTACCATTCTCTCACCCTTCATTCTAGAGAAAGGAAATTACTGCTGGCTATGAAACTAGATCCAGCAGTGATCTGATTTATACCATGTCTTAAGTTTGGGAGCAGTAGAAAAGCAGCTCCAGGTTTGCAAACACTCAAACACCTCACCATCCGATCCCATCCCAAAACCTGGGGAGGGCAACTATATTGCCTCTGCTTTCTCTGGGTGTAGCTAGGAATACAGCCCTCAAAAGACCTTCCCTGATGTCTTCAATCGGAATTGAAGTGGCTGATACAACTGTGGCAATAGTAACCCACTAAAACAGAAGGCTAAATCCCGTACGTGCCTGTACACTGGCATAAGCTCTGGCTGTAAGAAAGAACTAAAAAAACAGCTCCTGGTTGCAGTAGCATCAGGATGCTCTGGTTGCAACTCAGGAAGGGCTTGTGACTTGGAAACACTGTGTGGAGCAAACGCCATTGACTATGCAGGCTAGAGACCATGCATCAGAAAGACAGGCAATGTTCAGAGTCAGTGCTATTTGCCAGTGTCCATCTTTCCTGACAGGTCTGTGCCTAATCCTCCAGAGCAAAGGGAAGTTCACATCAAGCTACACAACTTCATTGCTGACATCATCTGCTTAGGTTACACAAGAACTGGCTCTCGTTTCACCCCATGTACAACCTATGTGCTGGAAAAAAGTGCTCCTCTCCCGTCAGAAATAGCCATTTCACGGCAAGCAAGGAAGTCAGCTGGAAGATGCTGGTGCTGGATTCACAGTCCAGACTTCAGAGAATCCAAGTTTGAGAGGAAATATGTGACAGTGAAAAGCATGTGTATGCAACCCATGAACAGAAGAAGTGAGACCATATGAAAAGGAGCACTCAGTAAATGTGAGAAGTGACAGGTGTGAGGCTGCAACAGAAAGCATGTGTGTGACAGGGAGCCTGCCTGCATGGGAATTTGCTTAGTAGACATAAAATAGAGGAGAACAGTGCATGCAAGATTGTGTGTAAAAGTATGAGCTAAGAGGAAGTGAGGATGCTGTGACTGGCACATCTCCAGATACGGCACTCATGCACTAGTATGCACAAGAGTGAGAGAAAAGCACTGTGTGGGGGGTGTGTGTATGTGCATGTGTGTATGTGTGTGGTAAAGGTGTGTGAGCGAAATACCCTCTAAGGGTGCAGCTCACTACAAATGTGAGACTGAGGCACACAGTAGGCCAGATAGAGTACATATATGTTCTTTAGTTATATATTCACCTATGTGTGTGTATATGTGTGCACACATGCAGGCTCACAAGGCTGGTGCAGCAGGGTAGGCAAGGGATTTTAATATGTAAGCAACCATGAGCACTAGTTTTCAGGATGGAGGCTTGAAGGAGGGATGGGGGGAAGAGAGGAAGGGAGAATGTAAGCTCAAGAGAAGCAGACGCTCCAGGAATTGAATGTGCTAGGGAGCTAAAACTGTATGTGTCAGAGTAAGTTTATTCATCTTGCCTGCTATATTCATGAGTGTGTGTATGTGTGTGTAAGTGAAGGACCACTGGTGTGTATAAATGAGTGTGGATCATGTAAAAGCTGCAATTTGGAGAACTGTGCTTATATGTACATATGGGACATGTATTTATATATACAGCATGGGATGCATTAACCCTTAACTCCTGTTTACAGAAAGCATCTCAAAACCAGCTAGCATGCCTGTCATCACTTCAAACTAAATTCCATACTCACACTTGGCTCTTAAAGCAAGAAACCCAGCTGGCAATTCTCCACTGAACAAAACCCCATACCCAACAAATTTTCTTCTTCTGGTTTTCCTCCATCACTCTCTCTTTTTTTCTTTTCTTTTTTTTTTTTTCCCCCCTGGTAGAGGGAAGGACATAATGTTTTCGCAGACAGACCAGAGGCATAGAGATTCCTCTAACCTCCCCCTCTCTGGGCAAAACCAAAATAAAAATAATTTAAAAAAAAACCAAAACAAAGCAAACAAACAAACAAACAAACAAAAATAAAAAAAGAAACTTAACACATATCTCCTCAGGAAAGTGAAGAATCCAGGAGAATCAGTACTTGTGACCCAAACTGATGAGAAACATTGGTTGTGGATGGAGGGGATATCCACCTTCACCCACTACTCTTTTGCTTTGCAAATCTTACTGAACACCACCCCCCCCCAACTTCCCCTCTGCAAAAGCATAAATACAGCAGCAAAGTCAGTCACATGCAGTGCCCTCTAACCATAGGATTCACCAGCAGTGATCTCTCCTTGGCTTGTTTCCTGAGGTGGGGGGAAGGTTTGTAGGGGAAGAGGGGGGAAGAGGAAGCTCTAGCTTCCAGCTCCATGTTTCAGGCCATCCTCAGTCCATCAGCCTCAATTGAAGCAGAATGGTTTGAGGAGACTGCAAGAAAGAACTCATCACATACCTTGCAAGGAGAAGAGGGACAGGAAGAAGCCCAGCACCCAGATACTGTGCAGCCAGTAGGTCCTCATGCTTCTCTCTCACTCGCTCTGCTTCCTCTGCCTTTTTCTCCGTCTCTTCGCTTCTCTCTCTCTCTCTTTCAATTTATCTTTTTTTTTTTTTTTCCCTTCTCTCCTCTCAAAGAAAATGGGATTCGTGTCTCCCTTCAGTCCCTCTGGGCTCTGCTTTACCAGCTCTGACAATCCAGTCGCAGCGCAAGCTGACCTACGGTGGCCAGATTCCCAAATAACCTCGCACTCTCCCCTTCAAGTGCTGGAGAAAGGGGGGGCCAGGTTAGATGCTCCACCGTAGGCTGTGCTGGCTGTAAACACAGAGAATCTCTCTGTCTCTCTCCTGCAGCTCCAACTAAATGCGACTGTACTTAAACAAGCAATGCCTTATAGGACAGCGCTCAGAGCAGAACAGATCCCACCTCTGCCACCTAGTGTTGCAAGCCAGCTCATTTATTTCGTTTTTATATATATAAATATATATATACATTATGCTATAGAAATATGGTTCCCTCATTCCTCTACAAATGTATCTCTTGGATCACAGGTCTACGAGCCATGCTGCGCTCTGGAGTCCCTAAGGCTCCAGCTACAGAGGACAAGGGGAAGTGGTTCAGTGAAGGAATATTCCTCATTGCCAAAAGAAGAAATGCAGCAGGGCAGGTTTGGTTTCTCAGCTGAGTTCTGCTTGACAAATTCTAAAGCAAGGGTCTCTCTGATGCTGGTGTCACTCGTGGGCAGTGCACAGGGGCCAGAGGGAGATTCAGACGCACCGATTGTAATTACAGAGCTGCCAAAGCTTCCAGGAAAAATAGCAAGTATCAGTCTGCATTAATCTTTGCTGGATCTCCTGTGACTTCCAGGCAATTTCAGAGGGACCAGAAAGAATCTGTCTGCGAGGGAAATCCAGCTTGCAAAGCCACTGTTTGCTCACGGAAGGCTTCCCCCACTACCTCTCTCCTTTCAGATACAGGTTCCTCCTACCATAACATAACCCAAACTTTTTTCCCCCAAGGAGTAATTAGCTCCTGTAGCTCTACTGTCCCCTAAAATAATTGCCTCTGGTTAGAACAGTATTAATGAAGTAATATTTAACATTCACTCAGGGCTTTTCATTAGTCACTCTCCAGGTATTTCACAAAAGGGTGTCCTTTCGCAGCCGGGGATGAGGAGGCAGTGTGACTGCACAACTTCTGAGACGTCAGTCTGTGGGATGCAGTGTGACAGCCCAGATGGGCTGCCCATCCAGCCTGGTGGCCCCTCTTCAGGCCACATTGCATCTTTCGTGGGCCACCAAAGCAGCCCACGAGGACCCCAACACTAAAGGATACGAATCTTTAATTTACACATTGTGGTGCAAGATGCAAAGTTGAGCACCTCATATAGGAAAGGTCTGTAGAATTCTCATCACTAATGATGCCATTCTAGAAGTATTTCTTATTAGACTGCTGTAGAGCAAGCTGTTCTGTGAACAGAATGCACCAAGCCTGCCTCCCCGTGGGTTCTTGTCTGCTGTCTCAAAAATCCCCCATGCCGTAATGAAAGCCAGATCCTTTCATATGTTCCCTGTGACATCTCCTGTAGGAAGAAGAAATTCATGCTGTGGCTAGCCTAGAAACACGTGCTTGTCTCCTAGTGGACCAAAATGAAAGACAAAATGCCATCACCATTTAGCCTGGTTGGCTGCCACCATGTGCCACCTACATAATTCACGGGTTTTCCCCTATGGAGGGAGCTGAACATTACCTAATCACCAGTTTTTAAGAGACATCCAGGAATAAGTTACTTTTTAGCCTTCCGCCCTCTTTTAAATGTGGTTGAAATTGGTTGCACTGAAAAGTTATTGGGAGGAAGAACATATGGACAAACAGATACACATGTACTATCAGCTAGGCTTCATTTACCAAGGAAATCAAACTAAAAATATTAGAGTGGATTAAAGTCAACTGACTAGTCAATGAGGAGCACGCTTCTTTTTTGTGCTTTCCATTTTAGATAGTTTGCATCCTCTGATGCTGTATTGAGTCTGTGTGGCAAAGTTTTGGTGGGGAGGCTTCTGTAAGAAGCTGCCAGAAGCTCCCTCTACAACTGATAGTGCCAAGGCCAGATGGCTCCAAGACAAACCCACCTCTGGCCAAGTCCAAGCCCATCAGGCAGTGGGCCGATCCCAGTCCAAGCCTTTGGGATAACATATTTAAGAAAGGGGACAAACCATGCAACAGCAGCCAGTAGAGAAGAGGGAGAATCTGTGGGAGAAATAGGGCTGAATACACCAAAGTCAGGAAAGAAGAAAGGGAAGGAGGTGCTACAGGCACTGGAGCAGAGATTCCCCTGCAGCCTGTGGCGAAGACCATGGTGAGGTAGGCTGCTGTGCCCCTGCAGCTGATGACGGTCCAGGGTAGATCAGTTGTCCACCTGCAGCTCACAGATGACCCCTTGGTGGAGCAGGTGGATGCCCATGAGAGGCTGTGAACCCATGGGAAGCCCGCACTGGAGCAAGCTCCCCAGCAGGACCTGAAGCCCCATGGAGAGAGGAGCCCACACTGGAGTAGGTTTGCTGGCAGGACTTATGATCCTGTGGGGAACCCACACTGGAGCAGGCTGTTCCTGAAAGCCTGAACCCCGTGGAAGGGACTCGTGCTGGAACAGCTCATGAGGAACTGCAGCCTGTGGGATGGACCCACGTTGGAGAAATTCAGGGAGGGCTATCTCCCATTGGAGAGACTTCACAATGGGGAAGGAGAAGAATGTGAAGAGTCCTCCCTCTGAACAGGAAGGAGTGGCAGAGACAATATGTGATGAACCAACTACAACGCCCATTCCCTGTCCTCCTGCACCACTGCAGGGGAAGAGGGAGAAAAAAACAGGAGTGAAGTTAAACCCATGAGGAAGGGAGGGGTCAGGGAAATATGTTTCAAGATTTGGGTTTACTTCTCACTATCCTGATTTTTTTTTGATTGGTAACAAATTGAATTTTCCCCTAGTTGTGTCTGTTTTACCTCTAATGTTAATTGTCCTCATCTCAACCCACAAGCTTTTTGTCATGTTTTCTCTGCCCCTGGCGCACTGAGGAGGAGGAGTGATAGAGAGACTTTGGTGAGTGCCTGGAGGCCAGTCAGGGTCAACCCACCGCAGATACCAACGGAACATGGTCTGAAAGACAGCAAAGCCAAAAATAATTTTGGCACTCCTCAAGATATGTTTGGAACTTTGTGTGACAAAATCAAGTGGTGACAATCAATTTGTAGGCTTGAAGTAGGAGATAGGTTTTGATTTTTGTTGCAGGAATCCCCAAAAACATAGAGCTTGGGTTAAGAGACCAGCTAGGCCAGCACCTTAATATCACACCAGCTCTATACATTTCTAACACGACTGCTCAACACTCCTCTTTTTGTTTGTGCTATACCTTTGTCATCCATCATCTCAGTGCCCAACACCTACATCTGATATCTATATTCATTTGTATTCTTTCACAAATATTCTCAGCCCCATACGTGGCACCAAAGCTCATCTGCTGTCTACTCCGATATTCCAGCTGTCCACAGTCACATACATAAACTCATCTTCCACCTGCCTTACACATAATCTTACAGGGCCCCACAACCTTACCATTTTCATCAGGTCATTATGCAACCATTCAAAGTCTACTTTACCTACATACATAGGCTCATGACCCCCTGCACAACCCCTTGATATGCAGCTCTCAAATGAGTGACCATCTCCCACTTTGGATATGAATATCCCGTGGCCTGTTTGATCTCCAAGACTTCTTTGGAGTCTTTGAGCATTTGCATAATGAAATTTTCTTGAAATAATAATAATAGTAATAATCATAGAATCATTTTGGTTGGAAGGGACCTTTAAAGGTCTCCTAGTCCAACCCTCTGCAATAATCAGGAACAACTTCAACGAGGTCAGGTTGTTCAGAGCCCAGTTCAACCTGACCTTGAATGTTTCCAGAACTGGGGCATTCATCATCTTTCTGGGGAATGTGTTTCCAGTGTTTTACAACCCTCATTGTAAAATAAAAAAAATAAATAATCTTTTTTATATCTAATCTAAATTGACCCTCCAGAAGTTTAAAACCATTACTCCATGTTCTATTGCAACAAGCCCTGATAAAATGTTTGTCCCCATCTTTCTTATAGCCCCCCTTTAAGTACTGAAAGGCCACAGCATTCATTATAACACTTATTATAACAATTAATATTTATTAGAGTAATTATTAATACAGCATAGTAATTAATGATATGTTAATTATTAATCAATATTATATGTATTGTAACAATTAACACTAGTTATTGTAATAAGTAATAATAAATAACAGTAGAACTGTGTCTCTGTTCCATAAATTGCATAGGGATGTGTGTTAGATGATTCTGAACCCAGTATTGTTCCCATCCAAAACAGGCAATGATAGTTACAAGTCCAGAGAGAAGACACAAAGGAAGCAGCACTCGCTCAGGTGACAGCATCTTATACTTCCCTGGAGAAGCTGGCATGACTGAAAGGAGAAAAAGCGATTTCTTACAATGTATTTGACATACTCCTAACCTTCAAAAACATTCAGAGCTGTATTTTGGCTCACTTGCTCATGCTGAGTCATACCAGTGGGGTTACTCGGGACATTAGACTACTAAATATGAGCAGGAGTATCAGATTCTGTGGGCTAAAATTCTTCAGGATTGGTCTCCAGCCAAAGGTGAATCCATTTATATGTGGCCAAATCCCTCAGCTACCTACATATTGTGAGGACAAAAACAGAACCAAGAATTACACTCATCTCTCCCTAAATCCCCCAAACATTAAAAACCCCACTGCCAGCAAAACAAGAAACAACCAACCAAAACTTGTAAAAACCCTGCAGTCCTTGTTCTTGAGTCCTTTCTTTTTAAATTACTGCAGTTCTTCCACTTAATCCAGAATTCAAATTCCAGGTGAACCAATGAATATCAGCAAGTGAAGAGCACATCTGCAATTCTTTATTGAAGGGGGGGAAAAAAAAAAAAGTTTGAATTCTGACTCAGCTTTGATTGATTGAAAGCCAGCTACTTTTAATGCATAGAGAAAGTATTTCATTAGGGCTGAGTGGATACATTTAGATGCACTGAGCATGGATGCTCGTCCATTTTTTAATAAATAAATGTGCTTTGTGCTATTAACTGTTTAAGAACTCACACTTTCATTTCTATTTCATCGTAGCTTTAGTCGCTTCACGCAATATCAATATTAACTTGATTGTGCAGCACACACATAATATTTTCTCTTCCAACTTCCTACGCCGAACCTACCATTACATACTTCTCAGGCAGCCACAGTACAGTTGATGGAGGAACTTTTAACTTTTCCATTACAGGTTTTTTCAAATTACTGTTATTTAACTGTGCAAATGTA